CGGCAGGATCAGGGCCGCGATAGGGCGGCAGGGCAGGGCCGCGACTCGGCTGCAGGGCAGGGCCGGGACGGCGGCGGCGGCTGTCACGGCAGTGGCGGTGGCGGCTGTCTCAGCAGCAGCGGCGGCAGCTGTCACGGCAGGAGCGGCGGCGGCTGTGACGACAGCAGTGGCGGCGGCAGTCCCGGCAGCAGCGGCGGCGGCGAACGGCCGTGGCGGAAGCGGCAGCGGCAGCAGGCGCGACGGCAGCTGCTGCTGGGGCGGCAGCGACGGGGCGGCAGGGCGGCTACGGCGGGCCGCGAAGAGCCGCGGAGGGGCCGCGAAGAGCCGTGGAGGGGCCGCGGAGAGGCCGCGACGGGGGCCGCGAAGGGCCGCGAAGGGCCGCGAAGAGGCCGCGAAGGTCCGAGAGGGGGGCCGCGAAGGGCCGTGAGGGGGCCGCGAAGGGCCGCGAAGGGGCCGCGAAGGGCCGTGAGGGGGCCGCGAAGGGCCTTAAGAGGGGCCGCGAGGGGCCGCTAAGGGGTCGCGACCGGGACCGCGAAGGGGCCGCGAAGGGGGGGCCGCTAAGGGGGGCCGCGAAGGGGCCACTAAGGGGCCGTTAAGGGGCAGGCCACTAAGGGGCCGCGAAATTTTTGGGCAGGACGCGAAGCGCGTTTAGGGCAGGCTAAAAATAAAATATTTTCGAAGGTGGGCCCAAGGAAGAAACGGTCCCACTAGGGAACCCGCTCTATACCATGTGAAGAAATGAGGAATGAATGAACTAGGAAAGTGTTGAGTACAAATATGAAACCCTAGAAACTTGTACCCCTTAGTGTCTACCCCGCTATAGCCTACACAGACTAAGTCATATATGTCTGACAGTAACGGGGAACATCCGGGGCAGGTGCTGCAGCAATAACACCCCCAGAACCAGCACCTCCAACTCCAACACCCCTAGTGTCAGTACCTTCAGCTCCAGGACCTCCAGCTCCAGCACCCCCAAATCAGCAACCACAGTGCCAGTACCTCCAGCTCCAACACCTCCAACTCTAGCACCTACAGCTCCAGTACCTCCAGCTCCAGCACCTCTAGCTCCAGCACCTCCAACTCCAGCACCTCCAGCTCCAAGACCCCCAGAACCAGTACCTACGGTGCCAGTACCTCCAGCTCCAGCACCAGCACCTCCAGTACCAGCACCCCCAGAGACCACTGCGACATGTCGCGGTAGCACCGAAGGCTGCTGCGGTGACTGTGAAGATGGCGAAGGGGAGTGTGGTGAGGGAGACGACACCGAATATGCTACCGAGGGGTGAGGGGTAGCGTTAGACACACTTGACCGGGAAGGACCTGGGTAGGGTGGGGCTACCGGAGGAGCAGTCTAAGGAAGAGGAGTGGGAGCGAGGAACAGGGGAGGGGGGGGGCTGAGAGCTTGTCCGCGTATGGATCGCGGACATGCGCAAGGCAGCCCCAGACACGAAACGCAGACGGGGCACCAAGTGACCCAGTCCAGAAACAGGTCGGTTGCGACCAGAGGTTAAGCCGGTGCGAGCCGTAGCGAACCGTGAAGGGCCACAGAAAATGGGGCGTACGTGTTGATAAGAATAACATGCAAGGTGTGCGGCCGGCTTAACCTGGTGGTCGGCGTCGACCTGGTGGGGTCGAGGAAGTTGGTCGACAACTTCAGCGGGACCTCATCGAGGCCGATGTCGGCGAAGCCGACTTCGACGCTGGCCGACAAAGGGAATTTGGCAGGCAGCGCTGAGCTTCGGCGCTTGACGAAGATGGTCGTCAACATGACGCCGAATTGTGGGCGCCGACGGCCTTTTCTGGTCGACGAAGTTCTGCGGGGGTGCGCGATCTTCGTCCCATATGGTTTTGGCGAAGTCGACCTGTGGGTTGAGCAGCACGTGGTCGACGCCGTGCATCTGGCGCAGCCGTCGACATGGGCACAAGTGCAATATGCCTGACGGTGCAACCGTCGACCTGCACCTACTTGGTAGGTGCGCACATGTGCGCTCGTGGACACATGCGGCGGCAACGCTGGCAGGCCACCCTGCTGCAGCGTTGGCAAGCTGTCCTGGTGTGACGCTGGCAGGCCGCCATCTTGGTGTGTTGGCAAGCCGCCTTCCAGCTGCGTTGGCACGCCGCCATCTCGCGGCATTGGCACGCCACCCTCGTGCTGCGCTGGAGGTTGACTTGCTTGCTTGCTAGGGTTGCTAGGTCCCTGATGTATTCACTTTGCCATTGGCATTGTTTAGTATTATCTCAACAGTTGCCAATTTGTCTCGTAAACATAGCAAGTGGAGAGAACAAGCGCAACGCTACGATCACCCGTACAACCCCGTAGCCTCCCACATAGTCTCCGCATGGTGCGGTGAGCGTGGACGGCCCCGCGATAGACCTTCAGATTAGCCGACTTTTACGCCTTACCTAAGTCGTGGTTAGGCCGGCAACTGTCTTAGTTGCCATGGTCGACCCCCCCCCCCCCCTCCCCCCCTTCCCCCCCCGTAGTCGACGTAGGAGTAGAGGATACAATGCAGGCGAGAGAGGCTGACGTTCGGGTACGCCACCAAAGTGGCTGTCGGGAGGACGACACATCGTTTTTGTCATACCTCTCGAGGACTTTGAAGGCGCTTATTAAGGTGGTGTTACGATGAGCCCATCCTTGTGTTATCTCGCTGCGGGCTGCGTCGTCCATGAGTGTAAGGGGGCGGGGGGGGGGACTACGTTGATCTGGTAGATAATGAGGGATGCGACGAAGGGGCTCTATTGTGGAGGTCTGATATCTGTTGGATGAACGGGTACGAGGGCTCCTTGAAGAGTGGGATTCGATGGGCATGATCTTCTTCGTTTTTCTCATAGTAGTGTGTAGGGTTGTTGCATATTTTTTAGGCGCGGTTGCCATTTTCGTCGTTTAGTGTAGCTATGCGTTAGAAAACCACCAACGACCCCTACTACTTCAGTTATGAGTGTGGATTCATGCGTATTATTTTAAGTACACGTACGAATTTTTTTTTGTTCAAAATCTGGCGTTTTTGCCACGAGGTGGATTTGAGCCGCCGAAACGGAGAGAGTCGTGGGAATGGGAGGGGAGGTTGGGGGAGGGAGGGGGTTAGGAGTGATTCCTTTGTGGTCTACACAAGAATTCCCTTTGATATCACGAGAGGGAGGTCAAGAGCCCAACTCAGAATGTTCAGGGCATGAAGGGAAAACGCCCCTTGATATAGAGCCTTGGCTGGGGCGCCTGATCTGATTGAGTCCCATGGGCCTGCGCGCATTTAATTCGCCGACTGTATCCAGTTGTCCTCCGGAAAAACCACCAGGTCGAGTTGTGTCGTTCTCGGCGGAGAGCGGGAAGCTCGTGTTCGCTTTCACACGTTACAGAGTGTGAGTGACCATCTTGTTTTGGAATTTGTGGATCGGAAAATAGACATGTGGCCTTCGAGAATCGAGCGGCGTGCTATAATTGGAGGAGAGCCACCTCATCCGAGCGTGATTACACAAATGGTTGGCGTCGCTTTGCCCAAGGTGTGGGAAAAGCTCGCCGCAAACTGTACTCGTCGAACAGTGGCTCTGGCCCAGATAACTCTTCTAGCCTGAGTCAGCCATTCGATTGGATGAAATTCTCCACATGTATCAAATTCACCATTAAGTGGTTGCCATATCAGCAATGGCTTCCACATGTCCGTTTCTGATACGAAGAAGCTCCCGGTGTTGTGTATCGTGGTCAGTCCATGTTCCGTGGAATGCTGCCATGTGTTAAAGTACAGTGGAAGCAAATTGCACCACACATGCTGCCGCATCACATGGGAGCCTCTCGTTTATTTGCTGGTGTTCGCCGCGTTCCTCTGTGGCGGTTCGAAACTCCAGTTTATGCGACACTTACAGCTCACTGGTTTCTCTGGAATCATCGCAGTGCGCTCATGCGACGCCATATTTCCTCCCACAATCGCCTAATTCAACCTGAAACTACAACTACGCATCGCACAGCCAATAGTGTACATGCATGCGACCTCAATCTCATTCCCCCAGCAGCACCACCACCACCCCTCCTCCTCCCCAGCAGCATCCTCCCACACTCCCTCTTTTTCCCCTCTACACCCTGTTTCTCGCTACACTGACCCGCGCGTAACTGGCAGGCTGGCCTTGTCCTATTCGATTTGCCCAAATAAACCATACCAAAACCTAAATCAACCAGCCTCAACCGAGCTTTTTCACTCTGGAAGTCAGTATAGCGGACGTCAGTATGGCGAGAAAGAGGGTGTATCCCTCCCTTCCCTACCCAAATTTCCATTTCCTCAGTCAGCGAAGTGTCGAAAGGCTGGAAAGGGTGGTGGTGGTGTGGTGGTGTGGTGTGGTGGTGTGTGCTGTAAGCGGGGGGCTCTACGGGCCAATCGCGCCTCGTCGGATCTCCCCATGTCATGTGCTTGAATCATCCTCAACTTGTGTGCCCTGTTGGGTCGTTGATTTTGTTGTGCGCACAAACCGCCTCGCGCAAATTTCAATTTACACTCCCCTGCCCTCTTTCCTTCCTGGCTCCTCCTCCTCACAGCCCGCGGCGGAAGACTTCTGCACTTGTCTCCCACCCAAATCCTTCCCCTCCCGCGCAGCGTTGCGTGCGCCTACCAACATCGCCTCCGTACCTGCCTCACTCCCATCTCCTAGAAAAGCACGCGCCAGCAGAGCAGATTACACGCCCACCTCATCAAACCATAACCCGCGCTCGCTCTCACATCACCTTCCATTACACACTTCCGCATTCCGCCCTCCACACTCAAAATTGATATCAGCGTGAACTCCGGTCCCAAACCATTGTGACTAACATTCGCCAAAGCATAAGCCCCAAGCCGTACATTTTTTCTCCTTCCCGCGCCGTCATGAGCATTACTGCTCTTCCGAATTACGGATTGGAGCAGTATACGAGAATGCACGGAGGCCAGCCATCGCCGTCCCACTCAGCCGCTGCCGTCGCCGCCGCCGCTGCGGCCAGCATGTTCCTAAACTCGAGCGGGCCGATGTCGAGCTTCATGTCCTCGCCAAACACGAACGCCGCCACCGCCGCCGGATCGTCGAACGGATCCGGCGCAGCCGAATCGCCGTTACCGTTCTGCCACGCGGTGTGGGAGGACGCCGCGCCAGGAAGCCTCGCGGCGCGGCTGCTATCGTCGTCGACGGAGGAGCTCTTCGACGTCCCTGGCGACGACGGCATTCCCTTGGATGCCTGCGGAGACGCCACGCTGCGCCAGACCTCTGATCCGCACCACCATCCCTCGCCGTTCGGCTCGGACGATCTCCAGTCTTGGCAGGCTGTTGACGCCGACCAAGCCGCGCCCGTCATGTCCGGCAAGTTGCCGCGGCTTGCCAGCCTGCAAAGTCAGCACTTCCAGGCCGCCGTTGAATCTCATCAGATGGGCGGTCAGCCATTGCAGCGACTCTTATCGCAGAGCTCGATCGGCAGCAACTGCAGCGGCCCGTTCCATCACGCCGCGCTTGCCGTCCACTTACACTCCGAGACCTTCTCCGTAGACGGCGGCACATCTTCCGCCGGTCCCGCCGGCGGCCAAGACGGGCATTCGACAACGCCCACGGGGCTTGCCGCGTACCTTCTCTCGGCTCCTCTCGAGGCGCTTTTCGACGTCCCCGAGGAGGAAGATCCCGCCGCGCTCTCCGCAGCTGGCGCAGGGCCTGACGGCGAGTCGAGCGCGAGTGGACTGAGATTATATCTCCTCGCGATGCAGCGAGGCGAGACGCCGCCTTTGCCGCCGCAGCACCCATCGGGCATGTTCTCTCCGAACCCCTCGTCCTCCGCCGCATCTGCCGCTGCTGCTGAAATGTACGTTAACTATCCCGGGCCCATCTTCTCCGCGCCGCTAGGCGCCGTCCCAGCTCGACCGAAAGGCCACCGCCACGGGTCGGCCAACGGCATGCCACGTCATATCAAGCGCGTGCTGAGTTGCAACGACGCCCCGCCAGATCAGGGTTTGCAAGGCGCGTATGGCACGAGCGCAGTGTTTCCTAACGCGCAGGAGTCGTATCACGCAGGAAGCCCCCGTCGCGGCACCGCCGCCGCCGCCGTTGTCGACGCCGCAGGCGCTGGTGCGAGCGGGGTTGTGAGGAGCCGCAGCACCAGTAGCGTCGGAAACGGCCCCGTTGCGCCTGTCGCTTGCGCCGGCGCATCCAGCGGCTGGTTCCGGGCATCCGGATCCCCCGCGGGGGGCACGTCTTCCGCGCGCTTAATCGCCGTTGCGCCTTCCGGCCAATCCTCGAGCCGGGGGAAATACGGATACGCGTCGCAGCAGAATCAGCATTCCAGCCAGCGGCAAGTCCCCGGCGGCTCGTGCGCCGACTCCGATCCCTGCTCCGCGTCTTCCGGCGCCGGTTGCGCGTCGTTCCTCCGCCCGGGCACGGGTAGCGCGAGCAGCAGCACGGGCAGCGACAACAGCAGCGGCAGCGACAGCGGCAGCAACGTCAGCCCGTGGCAGATGGTGGGCGCAGCGGGGGGGAACGCGAGCGGGAGCGAATCGTACGACGAGGTCTCCCCCCATAGCGGCGCGTTTGTCCGTCATAGGACCACGGGGTCGGTCGAGTTCACGCGGTCGCGCTCCGGAAATTACGCCGGCGCGCCTATTCTGTCCCCGCAGCACCAGCACCATAACCAGCTGATGCAACTGCAATTCGGCGGCGCGTCGTTCGGAAGCAGCACGGGCAACGGCCAGTTCGGCGCAATGTGCGGCGGCGGCGGGTACTCCGCGGGAGGTAGCGGAGCCGGCGGAGGGGTGGGGGCGCAAGGGGGCAGCGGAACGGATCGATGGGTGGCGCCCATGGGTCCCGTGCTGACGCCCATTGAGCAGTCACCCGTTACTTCTGACCGTTACAGCCCGTCTGTCGCTGCTATCGCCATCGCGAACGGATCCGTGTCGTCCTCGTCGCAGCGATCCACGCCTGTCTCCTCTGCTGTTTTCGCCCGCGTCTCGGGTGGTGCTGATGCCGGCTGCAGCAGCCCGGCTGTAGCGGAGCTGACCCCGCAGGAGAGGATGCTACAGCAGCAGCTGCAGCAGCAGATGGCGATGATGATGATGATGGAGGGGCCAGCCGCTGCAGCAGCAGCAGCGATGCAGCCGTCGCAGAGCAAGGAGCGGTCTATGGCTAAAGCCAGCAGCTGCAATCAGTTACACATGCAGCAGCAGCAGAGGCAGCCGCAGTTAACCTATGGCGGGATGCCGTACCACCACGTGCACACCCCCAGCCACCGCCACCAGCGCAACCTATCCGGAAACTCCCCCGCGGAGTCCGTTACCGGGGCTGGAGGAGCGGGCCCTGCCGGACCTGGGAGTGTCATTTCCGAGGCTGACATGCGAGGCTTGGAGGAGGAGATGCGGCAGCTGGAGGCGGACATGGCTCGGCTGCAGGCGAACCCGGCGCGGCTGGCGCAGATGAGCGTGCAGGACAAGCAGCGCGTGCAGGCGGCTGCTGCGGAGATCGGCAGCATGCGCGCGTGCCTGGCGCGTCGCTCGCCTTCCACACTCATGTTTGACTCGTCCCCGGGCGCCAGGCCTTTGGTTGGGGGGAGTTATCATGGAGGTGCCGGGGCTGGGCTTGCGTTGGGGATTGGGGGTGGGCGGAAAGGAGGCGTGTTTGTTGCTGGTGATGTGGATGACATGTGAAGCCTGCACTGCTCTCTGGATGGATGGTCCGTTAGGTGCTTCTATAGTGTCAGAGAATGATAAGGTGGGGGTACGATGATGGGGCGTATGTTCACCCTGGTGCTGGCTAGCAGGGTGGGCTCTGTATGATGGCTGGCTGGCTACTCCTAACATGGAATCTGGTATGGTACTTGTACTGAGCTATAATATGTAAGGCTTGGAGGTAGGAGGGATGGAAGTAAGGACCCCGTAGTATATATATTCACCACCCTGCTGTTACGACTAGGCCAATCTTACTGTTCTGGCGCTTGCATCGCAGCAGCTTGCTGTTGGTTGTGGTATAGTGGCATGTTCATCTCTTGTGTGCCTCCAATAATATATTAATGTATAACTTACACGTTAGCTTGTTCCTTGCCTTCTTCTCTCGTCGCTCATACGATAGTACCATACCCGTCAGCAGGACAGCCCTGAACGCATGTGTGGATGTGAAACTGTTTTCATGTTGCAATGTACACTGTGTTGAAACATGCCAACCACTACTAGCAGTATCGTTCGTCCCCTCTTCCTACTTCCTCGGCTGTTGCCGCCTCCCCCCTCGGCCACGTTGCTGGCCCCTCCTGCCTGCACCCGCTGTCCTGCTGCCACTGCCCCTACGAACACCTCCCTTGGCACTGGCACTGGCAGTAACAGTGGCATTGGCAGCGGCAGGTGGTGCTGCAGTGGCAGTCGTGGTGTTGGTTGTGGACGCAGGCGTGCGAGTGGCAGGAATGGCGGCGGTGGAAGAAAGAGTGTGCACGCCACGGCAGTGGTCACAGGGGTTGGACTCAGGGGGGCATGTGTCACATGGCTGCTGCTCTCCAAAGTAGTTCAACAATTGCTGTCGCCGACACTTGGACTAGAGGTGCAGGGGGGAAGGCGCGGAGGGAGGGAGGGGAGCCGGGATGGAGGGATTGGGAGATGGGGAAGGGGGGGGTGGGGAAGGGGGAGGGAGAGCAGGGGGAGAGATGGGTTAATTGAGTGATAATTTCTGCTTGCATGAAATATGGAGAAGTGTGGAGGGTGTGGAGGAGCAGGGTGCTTGGCATTGGCAGTCCACCACTCCTCCCAGAACACACCAACTTCCCCAGGACTTCAGGACACGAGCACAAGCCGTTGCAATGAATAATCCCACACCCTCCCACCCCTCTGCACCGCACCTTATCTTCACAGAACTCCGCCATTTCCCGCGCCCGCTCCATCTCCTCCTGCATCCTCCGCGCCGCCGCTGCCCTGCCAGCCGCCCCACCACCGCCCCCACCCCTGCCACCGGCACGGGCGGCGGAGGAGGCGGAGCGGCGCAGGAGGCAGGCGACGCGGGAGAAGTCACGGCGGGCAAAGAGCACGATGCTGCTGGCAGGCAGCCCGTCCCTGCCCGCCCTGCCTGACTCCTGGTAGAAGTTCTCCAGCGACTTGGACATGCTGTTGTGGATCACAAACCGCTGCGTGTGTGCGTGGGAGGGTGGGTGGGATGGAAGGGGAGAGGAGGGCGACAGGGGAGGAACATGGGGAAGCAGGAGATTTTAGAGGGGTAGGAGAGGTATTTCGGAGTGTTGCAGGGTTGGTTGGCAGAGGGCAACGTGTGTGTATGTGCAAGTAAGTCCCGTCCCTGCCCGCCCTGCCTGACTCCTGATAGAAGTTCTCCAGCGACTTGGACATGCTGTTGTGGATCACAAACCGCTGCATGGGATGGTGGGTGGGTGGGTGGGTGCGTGGGAGGGCGGGTGGGTGAGGTACATTGGGGGAACCGGAGAAGGTGCGTTTCCATGCACATGTATATATTTAGGTGCATGTGTGCCTATGCGTGTGTGGGAAAGAGAAGGTCAGAGGGAGCACTGGGCGTACCACATCAGGCTTGTCGATGCCCATGCCGAACGCTATGGTAGCACAGATGATCCTCGTGCGCCCGTCCTTCCATCTCCCCTGCACAGCCACTCGTTCCCGCATCCCCATGCCCGCGTGGTAACACTCTGCCGATATCCCTCCTCTCTCCACCTCTCCCCTTCCCACCCCCTCCATATCCACCTCCCATCCTTCCACGTCTTCCTCTCCCTCCGCCCCTCCCCTTCCCACAGCACTAGCACCAGCAGCAGCAGCACCACAACCACCAGCACCAGCAGCGGCAGCAGCAGCAGCACCAGCAGCAGAAGCAGCATCAGCATCAGGAATACCAGCGTCTGGGCGCAGGTGTGGGGGGCAGCGCAGATACTCCGCGACGCTCTCAGCCTCGCGCTTGGAGAGGCAGTAGATGATACCAGTTGCGGACGGGGGGAAGCATGCGGAGACGAGAGCGGCGAGGTGTGCGAGGGGGTGCGAGGGGTGCTTGGGCAGCACTGTGTAGCTGATGTTGGGCCGGTCGAAGGAGAGGGCTATGTGCGCTGATGATGGGGGGAATCGCAGCACTGATGTGATATCCTGAGGGAGGAGGGGGGGAGGATATGGGAGGAAGGAGGGGGAGGGGGGAGAGTGGGGAGCGGCGGGGAGGGGGGAAAAGAGGAAGAGATTGTGGGAGAAGGAGAAGCGGAGGGGGAGAGCGAGAAGGAGGGGGGAGTAGTTGTGGGTGGAGGTGAGAGCAAGGAAGGCACTGCAGGGGGGAGTGAAAAGAGGCCTACTTTCTAACCATTTCTCCAATCGTTACACAGCCTCCGTTCACACCCCCACCCTCCTTCCGTCCTCCATCACACCGCTACTCTCTTACCAGCTACATGTGGGGAGTGGTGGTGGTGGTGGGTAGAGGCAGTGAGAGACTCTGAAATCAGAGCTCAAACCTCACGCTCAAAACACTCAACAGTTGCAGATCACAGCCCACAAACCATCCCAAGAATAGCGAGGTTGCGTGAGCAGTGGTGTGAACTGAGCCAATCAGCTCATGGGAACAGTTGGTCCCTCCATGCCCACCTTCTGCACGGCGGGGGTGGCGGTGGCAGTGAGGGCGAGGAAGGGTGTGCCGGGGAAGAGTGTGCGTAGGGACGCTAGCTGGCGATACTCCGGACGGAAGTCATGCCCCCACTGGCTGGGAGGGGGAAGGGGGAAACATGGGAGAGAAGGGGGTAGGCGGAAAGGGAGGCGGAGCATGAAAGGGTGGAGGTGGGGATATGGGGAGGGAGGGGAGGGGGATGAGTGAAAGAAGGGCGATTGGGGAGAGGAGGGGGATGAGAGGCAGGCGGACATGGGATGACATGGAAGCGCAAGGGGGAGGGGACGAGGGGGGATGGTGAAGGGGACGAACTGAGTGTGTCCAGGGTCATGAGGCGTGGGAGAGGAAGTGGTTGCAGTGGAGGAGGAGGGAACTAGGAAATGGTAAAAGAAAGAAAGAAAGCGAAAGCAACTGCACCCCAACGTTCTTACCGCACCCTGCCCAGTGCCTCCCCACTCCCCATCTCCCCTCATCCCCGTGTCCCCATCATTCCACCTATTCATCCCACCACAGCCCATTGTGAGCGAGTGGCAGTGCTACCACGGCGTGAGTGGGTGCTACCTGTGCCCCCCTCACCTGACGCAGTGGGCCTCATCCACCACGAAGCGAGCCAGCATGCCCTGCCATGCACGCACACGGGCAAATGGTGCAAGGAGAGGGGCGCGAGTTAATACGCAAGCAGCGTGGGGGGGAGGGCGTGCAGGAAAGGGCGCTGGGGAAATGGGGGAAGGGTGTGGCACAGGGATACACGCAGAAAAAAGGTGTTCGCTGATATTCATAGGTGAAAATTTCTTGATTTCTTCCAAGCCCGCCGGCCATCTCCCCTTCCCCACTCCCCTTCCCCACTCCCCTTCCCCACTCCCCTTCCCCTCTCCCCTTCCCCTCTCCCCTTCCCCTCAAAGTCCCCCAACCCCCCCCCCCCCCCCCCGCAATGGTCATACCCGGGAGTGCAGCCTGCGCAGGATGCTCTGCAGGGCAGCGCTCCCCATGAGCTTCTCAGGCGTCACGTACAGCAGCTTGCACGACGGCACCGCCTTGCGCAGCTCCCTCTCTCCCACCTTCCTGTCCCGACCCGACCTCCTCCCTTACAGCCATATCCCCCCATGTGTCCTCCCTTCCATCTCTCCTTCCCCTTTCCCTTTCCCCTCTCTCCTTCCCCTCTCCCCATCCTCTCTCACACCCCCACTCCCCTTCTCCCCCCATGGCCGTACCCGTCCATGCAGCCCGCGGAGGATGCTCTGCAGGGCAGCGCTGCCCATGAGCTTCTCAGGAGTGACGTACAGCAGCTTGCACGACGGCACCGCCTTGCGCAGCTCCCTCGCCACCGCCGCTGCTTGTGCTGCTGTCTGCGCGGACGAGAGGAAGGCGGCGGGCACGCCGTGGTGGTGCACCAGTGCCATGACCTGATCCTGGATGAGGGCGAGGAGAGGCGATACCACGATGGTCACTCCCCGGGATAGCACCGCTGGGAGCTGCGATTTGGGGAGGGGGGAGAAGAGAGAGGATGGTAGGAGGAGAGGGAACGGAGGGAGAGGGGTGAAGATGGGAGGAGAGAGAGGTGCCGAGAGGAGAGGAATGAGGAAATTGGGAAGAGAATGGCAAGGTGGTGAGTGGGAAACCAAAATTTATCTATACGTATACACATAACCAAATAATAAATATGAAAACTTATGTTAGGGTGGCACCTGGTAGCAGAGGCTCTTCCCCCCGCCAGTGGGCATGAGCACAAAGACGTCTCTGCCCGCCAGAGCAGCCTCGCACGCGTGCCTCTGGCCGTCCCTCAGGCGGCGGTGGCCAAACACGGCAGCGCTTGCGAGGTCCACCTGGTCCAGCTGCAGTGCCTCGTGGTACAGCAACACAGAGGATGATGCTGCTGCTGATGCCCCCGCTTGGGATGATGGTGGGGGCGCTTGGGATGGTGGGGGTGGTGCTAGGGATGATGGGGGAGGAGAGGGATACGGGGAAGCGGAGGAGGAAGGGGTGGCGTTGGGGACGTGTGGATGAGGAGTGTGGGCGCATTTGTCTCCTCCGATGTTTTCTCTCAACTGCTGCTGCTGCTGCTGCTGCTGCTGTGGATGCCAGGACCACGCATCGGTCTGCCCATCATCCTCCAGACCTAGATCCATGGCCTCCCCCAACTCTTCCCACGCCCATGGCTCCCTCTCCCACTCGCTCCTCCCCACTTCCGAACCCCCCTCCTCCCCTCCCCAGTCCCTCTCTGCCGCTACCCCGCTTCCTCGCCCCCTGGCCTCGGCCCCTTCTCGCATCCTCCCCGCACCATCAGTAACAGCAGACCCGCCTTCCGCCCGCACTCGCCTGCACCTCGCATCCTCGCCCTGCACCGTACTTCGTCGCGCTGCACCGCTTTCTCTACCACTCAAGCCACCTACATCTCCCGTACCGCCCAGCCTTGTCCAGAGCCATGCGTCCACTGGATCACCCTCGAGATCATCATCGTCATCATCATCCAACTCGACCGCCACGTGGCCCAGATCGTCCAGATCGGGGCACTCCCCCTCTTCCCCCTCCCCCCCCCGCTCCGCCTCCGCCTCCCCCTCCGCCTCCGCCTCCGCCTCCGCCTCCGCCTGCGCGTCCGCGGAGTCGTCCCCCTCGTCCGCGAGGTCAGCGAGCATGGCGAGGAACTCGTCCCCGCACGACTCCACTGTCACGAAGCTCTCGCCCTCGTCGCCTACGCGCATAGGGAGCGGGGGCACGATGGCCGGGGGGGGGGACGGCGGAGGATTGAGGTGGGGGAGAAGGAAGCGGAGGATTGGGGACGGCCACTAACGACGGATGAAGCTACGAGTGTTGCTCGCTTTTTCGAGAAACGACAGGCACATCTCGCGCTTGCACAAGCACCGGTTGCAAAATAGGCTTGCTCGACCGCACTTCTTCTCGACGTGGCGCTTCGCACCATCACATCCAGCCATACTAACCATGGCGTAACAGGGCGCGAATGGCGGGGACACGCACCATAGGCGTCAGTGATGCGTCGCAGACACCTAACGGCGTCGTCGTGTCGGAAGCCGCACTCCAATGCCAGACTCAGCAGCCGACCGCGCTCCACTTGCGCGCCTTCCGCCGCCCTCCCTCTTTTTCTCTGCGTTTGCGCCTCTTTCGCGCGTTCGCCCGTCCCGTCGCCTCCCTCAACACCTTCTCTGCCATCCGCGTTACGCGTCCTCTTATTTCTGATCGTCGGTGCTGGTCGCAACGACTGTTCCCGTTCTCCTGACAAGCTGCAATGTGCGTTGCTCTTAGACCGTTCCCGCATGGTCAATGTTGGCTCAGGCGTAGAATCTGCTGGCGCCGAGTCGTCGGACGACAACTCACACACGCCGCGACTGACAGCATTTACGCAAAAATCAGGCGGCGACCGCTTTCCAGGGCGCCTAACATCATCACGTGGAGCTCCACGCGCCATGCCACTACTTCGTACAGCACACAACCCAACTTCACTTCGTTTGTGTTTGGGGTTAGGACATGTACAATTTGGAAAAAGAGTTGGTTGCAAGGGAACACGGAACTTGTCAGGCTGTTCGAATTTTTGAAATGCAAAATGAACAAGCAGATCAAGCCTGAGCACATCGCAAGAATCTTGGTGCTTCATTGTTTCAGTGTTGCGTCTGTTGCTAGGCTTGCTCTATCAATTGTTCAAAGCTAGTCAACACACTGCACCGTACTGAAATCAGCGATACAGTTCACAACCAACCATGACCCATGGATGTTGGTAAAATAGATGCCAAATGAAGGTGTGAGTGTTCCAGACAGGTATAATATGAACAAGACCTTAGAGCGAAGGGCCGATACAGCTAAGTTGTTCAAGGCTACTACCCTATCCTAGGACTATTATTTAGGGGGCCAAGGAAGCCCTCCACACTTCGTCACCCCTGATGGTATCATTCTACTCGTCATCCACGGCAGCTGCGGGGTTTTCGGACTTGTACTTCTCCATGGCTTGCTTGTACGCCTCCATGGCGGGAGCCGCCTTGTTGTTCCACTCCGCCTTCTTACCGTCCGACAGTTCGCCCCACGCCTTGCCTTGAAGCTGGCTCAGCGCTCCGAACGACACGCCTGGGTTGGCCTCCGACAGCTTGGCGCGGCCAGCAGAGCTGCGAGACAAAGCGGGACTCACATCAGTAAAGGAACTGGCATCAAGCGGAACTTTGAACAAAAATAAACAAGCCGAATCAGAAACTCACCAGAAGAGCTGGTACCCAGACAAGGGCCTCTTGGGCTTGTTGGGGTCCTTGGCCGCCTTCTTCGTCTCAGCTGCAGGCGCCGGCTGCTGCTTCTTGGAAACCGCAGCCACCTGCTTGGCGACCTGCATCTCCAGCTGCTTCTTCGCCATGTCCTCCTGATCCATTAGCGCGACCGCCTCCTTCATATCCTCCTCGTGTCTCTTTTGCTTCTCAGCCGCGACCTGCTCGGCGACAAGCTTATCAGCCTCCTGCTTCCTTGAGTTGTACGCTTCTATCTCCTTCGCGTACCGCTCCTTCTCCTTCAAGGCCAGCTTCTCGAACCGCTCGGCCTTCTTAGAGCCCTTGATCTTGTTCCACTCCTCGCCCAGCAGCTTCGACTCCTCGATCGGGTCGCGTTTCTCAGCCGACAGCTCCGCAACAAGGTGCGGGCGGCGCTCGTTGCAGTAGAGCATGAAAGCTGACAGCGGGTGCTTGGGCTTCTCAGGGTCCTTCACCTTTCTGCAAGGAAACTCGACGAAGCCTGTAAGAATCCGGAGATCGAAAAGTAGGAACGTAGTCTTGAAAATGGCCAAGAAAATAAAGAAGAGAATTTCGGTACGTACTTCTTGTCATTCGCAGCTGAGTCGGCGACCTCCTTCTGATGAGCTTCGTACTGCTCGAGAAGTTTCAAAGCTGCTTCCTTCTTCCTTTCCCCATGAAGCTTCTTGAGTGCAGCCTGCTCCCTGTTCTCTCTCTCGATCATCTGAGACAACCACAAGTATGTCACCGTTAACACGAGGAACCGCGGATCAATCTGACACCTAAGTTGCATGACAAGTGAATCCACGAACGCGATTCCACATTAAAACTTACAATGTCATATGCAGCCTTGTTCACTTTGTACGCCTCGTTCTCCTTGTTGAACTTGGCTTCGTATTTCTTCTTCTCTTCCGCAGAGACGGTCTTCCACATCTCGCCGAAGATCTTGGCAAGATCGGTGACGGAAGCGGTGGGGTTCTTCGCCTTCACCTTCTCGCGGACGTCGTTGCACCAGAGGACGTAAGAGGATGTAGGACGCTTGGGCTTGCGTGGGTCCTTGTCCTTCTTGTCGCCATCCTCGCTTTCAAGGGAGAGATCAAGGTCCTGCACCACAAATACAGTTGAGACGGTCAGATGGAGTTGAGGGAGAAACGGTACGAAATTTGTTGTTTAGACATTGATCATGCTGGCATCGGGAAACATGTGTCAGTCATTTACCAGAACAGGCTCGAACGGCTTGTTCTTCTGAAGCTTCTTCAGCTCACGAGCCAGGCGCTCGTTCTCCTCAGCCTTGGCCTGAAGTGCCGCGTTCTTCTCCTCTAAAATCTGGTCGTTCTTCTGCTTCTCCAGCGTCACTTGCTCCAGCTTGGCTGTCAATGCCAGGAGCTCGTTCTCAATGCTTGGCCTTCGTTCTGCAAGCGGGCTGTCGACATCGACGGCAGCAGCCTTCTTGGTAGCCTTGCCGCGGCCTTTAGCCGGAGCCTCGGATTTGGTCGGAACAGCAACGACTTCGTGATCGAGGGTATTCTCGCAATCAACAACCTTGTTAGCTCCGCGTCTACCACCAGCCATGTTGGATGAATATAACTGAGCGAAGTCAAAAAAAGCAAGTCCGGACGTAGGCAACGAAGGCTGATGAACTAAAGATGTCACTTTACCAGCAACTAGGAGTTGGCGAGAGAATTATAGTCAACTTTGACTTCTGTGTATGTAAAGGTGCAGGCATACTTTCTTATATCCGTTTCAATCAACGAACCGTGTCATGAAAGGCGACCTTCTCTCAAAGCTGCATTGGAGCGACAGTGTCGAAGGCGACGGGGCACTTGAATGGCGGCTCGGGGGTGCACGCACTGTCTGGTAGCATGAATTGGCCAAAGGTGGCTCAGGGGATGTCAGGGTCCTCCAGGGAGGGTGAAAGTTGAAGAGAGAAGAGGATATTTTCCGCCTGTCTTTCAAACTCGCGGTTTGGCCAGAGTGCCTGTGTGTGGCTCTGGGACTGTCTGACTCCCGTTATGGCGCCAAAAATTGCGTTCAGGAGGCTCTGATTGGCCGAATGAATGGAGTCAGGCAATTTGAAATTCCCGACCCTGTAGGTTCTGTGTGTGGCTGGGACCGCAAGTATTCCCAGATTTCACTTCGGGCGAAGACGAGTTTCGCAAGGTAACCTGCACAATTTGCTAACCATATTTCTACATCTGTGCAAGGAAAATTCCTTTTCCTTACTTCGCGTCCCTGCTTACCGCGTACATACCTGTTCCCGCCATCGACACCCATCCGTGAACGTTACCCGCTCGCGACATTCGCCTCGACCACGACTCCCGCCACTGTTCACAATGCGACCCAACCTCACGGTTCGGTTGGTAACCCGCGCTCCGGACCCCCGCCTCGACAATTCCCAACCTCGGCGCTAGGCCCGTAGCGCACCCCAATTTCCCGCATTACCGTTACCACGATAGCTTCGCTATATATTCTTCGCTCATGCCTTCGCTCATTGGATTGTTTGCTTTGATAGTGCAATTCTCACTCGCTCGTTCAATTGCACTCGTAACACTTGGTATTCAGAGCCTACGATCTCCTCTCGGACCGCGCCCACACCTTCGCTTCCCCATTATCTCAATTTTTGGGGGGGTCGACGTCTCTCAGCGAACAAGCACCGCCGCTCGAAGTGCTCTCTCGTACGCTGTTTCGCTGCTGAGGGGCCCCGCCATGGACTGGTGGCGAGTCATCGTGACGTCGCCACGCGCCTACGAGCCACCGTCGCAAGAGGAAGAGCCCACGGGCCCAGCCGTCACCTGGAGTTCATTTTGCGAAACCGCCCAGTACAGCACGTAGGATGCGTGGTGCGCAGGGCTTCGGGCGCGCTTCCAGCCGATCGCGGCTTCTATTTCGGCGCGTCAGAGACTGCGTACTTGGCGGCAGCTCGGATCAGTTCAAGACTACACGAGCGGTTTTCTCGCATTATGCGAGCAAGTCGGCTACATGCACGAAGCGGAGCGGGTGGACCGTTACGTTGGAGGGCTGAAGCCGGATATCTCGCACGAAATCATGCTACGCGGACTCTCGAATTTCAACGAGATTCTCGCGCTCGCCGAGAAAATCGATATCTTACGCCATCCGAGACCGGGGTCCTACTACGGACATCGCTCTCTGGGACCGATCGAGCACGCCACTGTACATGCCGTTGCGACAAAAGCAGCTGCTGCGCCGTTTAAGGGGCGCTGCTTTGCTTGCAACAGGCCGGGCCATCGCAAAAGCGAGTGCCCAGAGGAGCTAAGGTGCCGCGGAGCAGAGCAGGGGAGGGTGTCTCAGAGGCAGGGAAACGCCAGCAGTCAGTAGGAGTTGGGCCAACTACTGACGAGACTGCCTGCTCGCCCAACCTCACCGACCCTCACCGAGTCAGAGTACCGATTCACGCTATCGATCAGGCTCGGGTGAATAAGGAGGGTACAGCAACGGATTGCCCAGTACTGATTCACGGGAAA